TATATATATATATAAACTATATAACCTGATAGATTATACAAAAAAATGGGGGTGGCTGAAACCCAATATAAACTACGTCACATAAACTGTAGCCAATTGTGCGAAAATGTTTTCATGAAATAAAACTGCGTCCCATAATCACACTGTTGGTGCTACATCCAAGGCATTTCATTTGTTTCAATTCAAATATGGGCTACTAGAAGACCAGAATATTCAAATTGCAATAACTACAGTCTGTGAAAATATAATATATTATTTAAACAATACAGTAACTTTATTTTCCAAGAAAAACTAATTGAAGCATTATTTTTAAGTCACAGCATATCAAGGAAAACAATTTAATCCTGCATTTCTAATTAAGGTCTTCCGTCTTCACGGTAGACCTTATAGTGATTCTACTGTTTCTTATTATTTTTATTATTTTTTTGACTTGCTAATTTTGTGCACGCAATTTCTCAAAGACTACTGGGTAGAATTGCTCGAAAATTTTAGGAAAGACGTGTTGTAATATGAATTTATTATATCCGAGAGTAAAATTGGAAACTCACTTCCGGTGCCAAGTTACGGACGATTTTCTGAAATTTAAATGACATTTTGTTCGCGATTAAACACAGAAACGGTAAAAGGTATCAACATGAAACTTTCAGGGATTATAGATCGTGATATTTACAATCCAGGACGTGACCTTTCGTTCGTCGTCAATACTTCCTGTCGTTAGGAGATGAGAATTAAAATAATCGAATTTTCTAACTTTTTTTTCAATATTTTTCATTCATTTCTGGAACGTTAATAGAAACCTTTTTATTAATGCTTACTATATAATTTGTTTGAATATTGATGCATCTAAACTCTAGATATTAACATTTAAAAATCTGAAGCGAGACCAAAATGGCGGCTGTCTCTGTCAAGTCCGACATTTCGCGAGTAGGGGGTTAAAGAGGCAGTTGAGCGTTTGCTTGAACAAAGATAATATACGGATAAATGCAATGTAAATGAATACGTTGATTTTCACGTAGTAGGTACGTTGAAATTCTGTGTTAAACTAAAGTGTTTATCCACGGTCTTCTCAAACGTCTACCATAATTGGTTTTGGTGTGTCATCAAAGTAGAAAAAGAAAAGACTACATGTACAAATGAAATGCGGTATCTACAACCTTTTGTTGTGCACAACGGAAATTAGATCTTAAAACATATTTATAAGTAAAAGTTTTTACATGAAACAATATATATAGAGAGTATAAAACGTAACCGTATTTTTTCACTTGTGACATATTAAACCAACAGAAAAGACACAGATAAGAGTACTTTTTTAAAGGAGCGTTTAACGGAGTTTATATACACTTTTTTCTCACAGATCTGATGCAAGTCATTGAAAATAAATTGACTGTGATAGGCCTAGTCATGTTTTCGGCGAAACATTCCAACCCTTTCATAAAAGTGTAAATAATCGAGAAAGTCAACTTTGGGGATAAACAGGAAATTTACAAAAAGTTATGAATTCATAGTCGTTTCACTTTGACAGTGTTACTTACATAGATACGATATTTAATGTGTAGAATGTGTTTAATATACTTTCTAATTAAACCTCGAAATTTAAGCGATAAGAACGTTCTATTCTTTTACTTCATTGAAGCTATCACATCTATTTAATTGAACATTCCAAAGAGAAGGCACGAAGATTTACTCGTTGCTTTTGGCGCGAAATTATGAATAATGACTCTCCTTAAGTTCCATAATTCTATGACAGATGAACTGTTGCAGAATTGCATGTACATACAAGTAAATTTAGAGCAGGGGTTCAGATAATGTAATAGATAGCGTGTTGAATTTTACTGCTCGTGACCCGTTTCAATTATCTGTGTATCAAAAGATCTTTTAATCAATTTTCAGCTCGATTTTACTGGGCTTTTTTCCGGAATCGGACGGAAGACCTCTCGTTGCTCGCAACGCGATCGTTTCTAGTATATAGTTATTATTCGATTAACTTCTTGACATGCCCCCCCCCTCTCTCTCTCTTTCAAAATATATATGATTTCATTGCACTACCATTACGTATAGAAAAAAAATATGAAAAAATGATCCATTCCAGGGTTCGAACCCATTTTCTGGTAAAAGTACTAGTTTGAAACCCATAAGCATATCCACTAGACCATTTCTCATTTTTCAGTGTTTTTTTAATGTACATATTTTGCATTTCGTTTGGAAAATAATTTTTATTTAATTTTTTCATTTTTTCAAAAATGTGCCTCTTTGAAACAAAAATCGGAAATGGCAGTTTTGAAGAAAATTCCTGCCTCTTTGTGCATATTTAAAAATTATTCTGTTTCAAGGAGGCACTTTTTCAGAACAATAAGGATTCCCTATTTAAAAAACGGAAAATATGATATATTTTGCCGTGAGACTTATTTTCACATCATTTAATGGCAAATTGGAAGTCAATAGGCAGCTTCCAAATCTTGTTTCTCGTTATGCTTTATATTATTGCTGCAGTTGTAAAAATTAATACGAGTTTCTGCAACATAAAAATTCTTATTTTAATCTGCTTCACATTTAGGGAAAATAACAAAATAAGTGCAACACCCTCTTTGGGACCAGGTTAACGCACTTTGAAAAAAGAATTTTTATTTTCAAAGTGCGTTAATTAATATCGACCATATTAACGCACTTTGAAAAAATATGCACGGCTTAAAATTTTAGCAAATTTTAGGTATGATAAGAAATTATTCAAACCTGATTGAATAACTTTTTTGTTGATGACGTCACTTCAGGATGTGAGTTAAAAACGTTTTACAAATGACCCTTAGAGGTACGGGAAATGCAACAAAATGAATCAAGTTTGTATCCCGATTAAAAATAATTTTCCAACACACCATAACGATCTTTTTCTAGTTATACACCCTGCTTGAAAAGCGGGAGGGTATATAGTGATCGGGATTTCCGTCCGTCCGTCCGTCTGTTACGCTTTTTCTCTTATCCGCAACTCCTCTTATACTACTGAGTGAAATTTAACGAAACTTTCACAGAATCTTAATCACATATTGCTATTGTGCACCTCCTATTTTACTTTTTTATTCGACACGTATTTTAAGTTTCCCAGGGCAAAACATGGACATTGCCATTTCTTGTTTACCTATGACGTCACATAATAGAAGCTTCTGGATAAGATTTGATAGGACGAGTTATTCCTCTTTACACATTACCGTAAAACAATATAAAGCGGCACATCGACATGATGGGAGGCGGGGGGTATCATTTAGTGAGCTCATTGCTCACAGTACCTCTAGTTATTTTATAAGTTTTTTGAAGTATAATTTTTTTTCTAATTCCTGTGCAAGATGATGTCTTTTACTTTACAGTTATTTAAGTAGACCTACATGTATCATAAGTTGTACAAAAATAAAATGCATCGTATATTTATATTTTTGATTTATATTTTAATATGTTGTTACTTTGGCCAAAGTTTAGTCAATTGGACATCGTTGCTTAGACCAGCGATATAGATCCTGAACAGGGTGAGCTAGTTTTTTTTTTTTTTTTTTTTTTAGATATTGGTAATTTTTTTCGTTATGTTACGTTAACTTAAATTTATCGAAAGAATGATAAAATACACATATTCATCAGGTTTCTAAAGAAGAATATGAAAACTCTTAGTCTGGTTTTATTAGAAATATGTTTTTTTTTTTCAAATTGCGTTAAGTGCCTCCATGGTAAAATATGTAGATGTATACTTTAAATACACTTGATTTTTTTTTTACAAAGTGCATTAATGTTGTTTATTTCAAAGTGCTTTGATTTTGTCCCAATTTAACGCACTTTGAAAAATTGTTCAAAGTGCGTAATTTTTTCAAAATGCGTTGCCACAGTGATGTCGTCTCCATTTGAGTGGACAATTCTCAAAGGGAACCTTAAACAACAATCAATCAATCATAATAATGGTACATGGGGTTCATAAATAACATATATCTACATTATAAACAAACTAGTCAGAGATACATATACAAAACAAAAACACATGACAGATGATTGAAAAAGGAAAAAATAAAAGAGGGAAAATATATCAGGGAGGACAGACAGCATCGTAATTTTTTTCAATAAACATTCATAGTTTTTTTAGCATTTTTTCGTCTTTAATTGACATTACTTTCATAATTTTGATAATATTTGGCATGTTGGAATAATAATTGCCTAGGTTATATATCCTTACATCAACTTAAGTTTTACATTATAAGATATTATGAAATTCATCAGCATTATCACAAGTTTACAGCTTTTATCCCACAGTGGTATACAGAAAGACCGCAGTTAATATCCCCCACTGTCAATGAAAGCGGGGGGGGGGGCAAAAAATATTTTCCCATTCTTTGTCTGGAGAACATTAAATATATTTGAGGAAAAGTAAAACAAGACCTATTCTGCTGGAATGTCTTGACGATTTTAACACATTATGTTGGAAAATGCATACAAAAAATTCATAGCAACGGTTTGAATATGTTTATTCGTATTCATTAATAATATTTGATTAAAAGAGCTTGATTCAACAAGCATTTTGATAGTATTGCATAAGCAACACTGGTCCCCCTAATTGCAAGTGTAGTAATAAAATTATTTAAGATTGAAAATGTTGTATCCATCAAAAATTGGACAGAGAGACAGACCTGTGGCAGACGCCAGGTAAAGTTATCCCTAAGTGCCGCTCTTCTCTGCAGGTGACGCAAAATATGCAAGTCAAATGTAATGAATTCATGATTCGTTAAAAAATGTCCTCTTTATATTCATCTTTATAAAAAAAAAATACCTCTTTTCCCAACTGCATGAGATATGACTGTCTAACTATGAGGTAAAACAGTTGTAAGTACCCAGAAAAAAAACTAGCTATCATGTATCATTGGCTATTTAGTATGTATTAATGGTTATTTAGTACTCGTTCAGACTGTTTCAAAATATTCAAATTGTGTAACACGTTGTCTTATCAAGTTACCAAATTCGAATTTTTTTTTAACGCAGAAACAGTATAAATTAAATGAAACCGTAACTTTGCCAGATGACAATCTTCAGGTAGGTAACAATTCTTGGGTAGGTATTTATATGTATGTATTTAATCCGATATTTTCGTTATCATCTTCAAAGTTCTTACATCACTAGTATATTGTGTTTTATTCTGTTTATTTCTTTTAAACTTTTTTAAAAATGTATTTAAAAATAAAGAAAGAATATTTTCACCTTTTATAGATTAGTGTTTAAAATAAAAATTCTGATATTTTAAAAGTTGAAGTTTTTTTTAAATCTATGAAGATAAACTGATCTTACATGTCAAGACAAGGAGCATATCTGTAATTAATAAAACAAATATTTCAATTTCAGAAAAGTACCCCAGTACGCCAGAAAGATGTCATTAATAGCTATTATAGTCATTTTCTCTCTGGCTGCTTCCACTTTACAAGGTATGTACATTGTTTTGTTTGATTAAAGTTTCATGCATTATTGAGTAATTGGATCATTAGACTTTTAAAAAATTTTCCTTTCCCCATTCTCCATATTGTGAACATTGTAGAAAAGTTAGTTTATAAGGTCATTCCTTGATTTCCTTAAAATTTTTATTGTCAATCAGATTGTACTTTCTTTTTATGTTGGGATCTTTAATCTTGTTCACTTTGACTTTGTAACTTTTTTAATGTTACATTTTTCTGAATGTAAAGAGAACTTTTTTTAATATTTGCACTGTCATTAATGTTAATGTCAGTATTACTTTTTATGTTTTCACTTTTATATATTAACAATTACATTTTTAATATTCACACTGTTACTTTTTAATTGTTGACATTCTTATTATTGCCGAATTGCACTCCTTCAATTAAATACAGTGTATTCTAATTTTTTTTTTCAAAATGATAAGAATATGTACAAAATAGCTCCCCAAAATGATATTTTGCACCACCAATGCAAGCTTAGGAATGTCAAACTTTGATTCAAATGAGAGAGAGAGAGAGAGACTTAATGCTGGTTTTATTAAAAGAACTCACCTAATATTAAAAATAATTCTTCAGTTAGTTGGCCTCGAGGGACATATACCCTCGTAAAACCTAAATCTGGATGTCCCCAGGGCTGGCTTGAGGGATGGAGACAACAGGACAGTGAAGACACACACAATAAAAATTTTTTCACTCCAGGGCACCACTTTGCAGGTATCTTTAAGAAGAATTTTACGTTGTCTGACAGAACAAAAATTACTAGTTCTCAAATGCAATTTTGTAATATAAAAACCATAAAAGAGATAAAAAATGAATAAGGCAATTAGAAAATGTAGTAAACATTTTCAAATATACGTATATATATATATATATATATATATATATATAGAAAGCACAAAGAAATTCACTTTTACATGGATACCCACTTCCGCCCCAGCCCGGGGTTGAACTTTCGACCTTCGGAATCTGTCTCCTAGCAGTGCAGGAACAGCGCGCTAGACCGCTCGGCTATCTAGGCAAGTCAAAAAACTTGCTTTCGATGCCGATGGAATTCTCGCAGCGCTGTCCTACACTACACGGTCATTGAGAATAGAAGTGAGATACAGTTATTTGGACATTAGTTTTTTAACAGAGGATTGTTACCAATACATGTTGTAATGAAATTAATTATTATTTATAAAGCACAATTTACAACAACTCTTAAACTAATATAACTGCCCTAAGTGAAGAAATATTAATATAGAAAGCACAAAGAAATTCACTTTTACATGGATACCCACTTCCGCCCCAGCCCGGGGTTGAACTTTCGACCTTCGGAATCTGTCTCCTAGCAGTGCAGGAACAGCGCGCTAGACCGCTCGGCTATCTAGGCAAGTCAAAAAACTTGCTTTCGATGCCGATGGAATTCTCGCAGCGCTGTCCTACACTACACGGTCATTGAGAATAGAAGTGAGATACAGTTATTTGGACATTAGTTTTTTAACAGAGGATTGTTACCAATACATGTTGTAATGAAATTAATTATTATTTATAAAGCACAATTTACAACAACTCTTAAACTAATATAACTGCCCTAAGTGAAGAAATATTAATATAGAAAGCACAAAGAAATTCACTTTTACATGGATACCCACTTCCGCCCCAGCCCGGGGTTGAACTTTCGACCTTCGGAATCTGTCTCCTAGCAGTGCAGGAACAGCGCGCTAGACCGCTCGGCTATCTAGGCAAGTCAAAAAACTTGCTTTCGATGCCGATGGAATTCTCGCAGCGCTGTCCTACACTACACGGTCATTGAGAATAGAAGTGAGATACAGTTATTTGAACATTAGTTTTTTAACAGAGGATTGTTACCAATACATGTTGTAATGAAATTAATTATCATTTATAAAGCACAATTTACAACAACTCTTAAACTAATATAACTGTTATCTTAACAGTTATATAACAGTTATATTAGTTTAAGAGTTGTTGTAAATTGTGCTTTATATATATATATATATATATATATATATATATATATATATATATATATATATATATATATATATATATATATATATATATATATATATATTAGGGTTGTCAATTCTTTACCGGTTAATCGTTTAATCGGTTAGAAGATCCGTAATCGGTTAGTTGGAAAAAATAAAATATATATGTAAATTTGGCCATATTTTCTTACAATTCACTTTTTAGAAAGGAAACCACTGCTTAAATTTCATTTAGCGTTTTTACATATTTTGTAATTAAAATAATTTGGCGGTATTTATAGCACTCCTGATTGAAGTCACAGGGTAATTACCCTGTGACTTCAATCAGGAGAGCTATAATTACCGCCAAATTATTTTAATTACAAAATATGTAAACTCATTTTACGTCTGCGTTGGAAAAATCTCTGTGTCTGATTCTCAGACAAGATTAATGGTTTTCTCATTTTTTCTTGTATATAGAAATTAAAATAAGATAAACTCTTATGCACATAAAATATCCAGATCAAGATAATTAATAGAATAAGAATTAATACGTCTTTCTAACTTTTATAACCTTCGTGTGTATATGAAGAAATCAAAATGAACATCTTGATACGACTAACCGGTAAATCGGTCGGAACGTCTTGCGATTAACCGATTAGCAATTCTGTAATCCATTGCCATCCCTAATATATATATACATGTATATATATATATATATATATATATATATATATATATATATATATATATATATATATATATATATATATATATATATATATATATATGTGCTAAAGGTAGAAAGAGTGAAATAAAAAGAATTTTATTCTGAATTCAGGTTCTTTCAGTGGGCAATTCGTAAAGTATCAATACTGTACCAAGAACCCACATCAATTCAGCAACAGAAATTATTGGCCCAGGGGAAACTACTGCATCCTGAAACACGGACCTTCATGCCCAAGATGTAAGAAATTTTAAAGTAATACACGCCACATGAATGTCGATTTTTGTGCGAAACAAAATGATTAAATGATTTGAAACACACGAAGTGTAATGAAAAAATAATACTTTCCACAAAATCTTACTCTAGAAGCCGTTGTTATAACAAAACAATTTAAGCAATAACTGCACTTTTCATGAATATTGTATGAAGGAAGTGCGCAAATAGTAGGCCTATATTTAGAAACGCATGTCCATAGGAAATCATAGACAACGAGGTATGTTGCATTTTGACAACGATTATTAATAAAAGGTTAATATGTGTCATAACACAGTAGATGGTTGATAGTGATTACATTGATAGATAAGTATCATTAAGAGTAAGACGCTTGCCATCTATGTCAAAAGTGAGTTGTATCTCAAACGGCCTACCTCGTTTTCTTGACGCCATGTCTGTTTATCAATCTAAAAGAAGCGACGGTATCACGTGATGGATTTATTTAAAAATAACCATTTCTTTCCTAGCAGGATTATAAATAACTCTAATTTGATAACTTTATAACGCGTTTAATTTAAATGTGTAATTTACAAAATTTTTGTAATTTTTATTGTAAACAAAATATATAAATCCCCTACCGCATTTTAAACTGGCGTAAGTTATAGCGTATATTACTTTAATGTAAAGCTGAGAAGGAATTGAAATGTTTAAGAGTAAATTCGATTTACCTTGTTAGTTGATTGTTTACAATCTATACTTATAAATTGATAATTTTGCAAATAAACTCCTCTCTGAAACGCTTGCACCAGAGTTCATACTTTCTCCTCTAGGTATACATTAGGTATTAAGGTCATAGGCAACGTAGTTTGAACTTTATTGGGTTCTTCCCTGGAGTTGAAGAGTTCCACTAAATAAAGGACCTGTGTGCAATACCTTTAATGTTTATATATGGATTTGTACACCTTTTCTAAAACAAATTCTGATAGATAGATTGATTGATTGTATACTGTTTAACGTCCCTCTCCAGAATATTTCACTGATATGGAGACGTCACCATTGCCGGTGAAGGGCTGCAAATTTAGGCCTATGCTCGGCACTTAGGGCTATTGAGCAGGGAGGGATCTTTATCGTGCCACACCTGCTGTGACACGGGGCCTCGGTTTATACGGTCTCATCCGAAGAGAAAAAAATCTGGAATTTATGTTTCGTAATTCTTGTATATTTTTCTTTAAATAATGCAACATTTTTCATAATTTGATATATTCTAAAAACCCTGGTAATGCATGCTGATTTTTTGTCTATGAACATCTGATGGCATTATAATCTTAAGAATATCTTGGAAAATTATCAGTAGGTAACGTACCTTGCATATGTCCTTAAGTGATGTCCATAAACTTTATTCAGATTTCATTAGCATAGTAATTATCGTCGATTGAATTAAAAGTCTGTTTCATTTTTGGTAACAGCATCGAAATAGCAAAAAACGAGAGTAAGGCGATGGTTCCGTTTGCAGATCTAAGTAACAGAAGACATTTTAAAATGAAACTGACAACAAACAAACGAATAATAAATTTCATAAAAACGTTATTAATAAATTATTCACTTAAATCTTGATTTAAGTGAAATGGGTTACTGATTATAAAACAAAATTTGCAAAACTTTTTTCCGTTTATGCCCGATCTCAATCTTGCATGATTGAAAGTTCCAGATGATATCGAAGCCAATATTAAAAAGAAAATCGTGGGCCGGAGGCATGAAAATTGTAGTAAAGTAATTGATAACAATGTGAGTTATGAATTATCTAAGATATAAATGACAGTAAGTGCTAATAAATTCACAAATAAAATATGCATATATAGAACTGAAAGCTCAAACGACTCAAAGTACAATATTTATTAAGTAATAAGCTTGCTAAAAGAAAATGTCAGTTAATGACTATGGCAATTTGTTTAAATATAATAAGTAAAAGTCATGATTTATATTTTTCACATTTCACTTCTTTTTAAAGTGTGTACGTTAATAAATACATTTCAATGTGTGATTTCTTTTATCGAAGTCTTTTATATTTAAGACCTGTCTGTAGACACATAGTGTGAAAAGCTAATTTTTACTTTTAAAAACTGCTGTTTATCCTTGATGTAAATTGAAACAGAAAACAGAATATTAGTAATATAGTACAGCAGATATCAAATCCCTGTTACAGGTTTGATAAAAAGAGCTATCCTATATAACCACAGCCAGTGGATAAGTGTATGCTGTTCCTAAACTAATTGCAGGATTTTAAAGTATTTCTTTATGTCATTAACCTATAATTAACTGTCAGTTAAAACTTTAAGATTCTTTTTTTTAAATAAATCTGACTAAAGTGAAAAAATTCGAAATTGCCCATTGCTACTCACAGTGATTCCAACCCAAGTTCATGTATAAAAAAGGAAAACCACTCTTTATTGTGAAAGAACTGAAAACACTTAGTATTGCACAAGTTTTAACGTCGAGGAAGACCACTGAATCTAGTATAGGATCAAAATTTTATGATTGCTCAAGTCATATGGTATATTGTATTGTAATTCGATTTTAAGAATAATGCTGTTAATAAACATAATTTTCAGACTTTCGTCCAGGATGTGTGTATTGGGACGATGAAAACAGTAGAAACGCTAACAAACAAAATGGAATTTTGCCCAGTGGTTCGTATGGCCCCGACACTCGCATCGACTACTGTTGTCGGTAAGTACATAGTCTGCTGTATTATCAGTCCACATAGTTAAAAGTGACTCAATATATTTATACCTTATTCTTTTTTACCTCACCTGAGCAAACGGTTAAGTGAACTTTTCTGATAATAAAATGTCTAGCCATTGTTTGGTTGTCAATAGCCATTCCCCTTAAACTTCTTTGCCACGCATAGTTAATGTTTTTGATGGAACCTTTCCCATTCTTACTTCTTGACACTAGAAACATATATCAAATAAAATTTCGTTGTTGTGTAAATTCAAATTTGACCAAGGCATGCCTCGTTGGAGCTAGGGTGGGACCACGATCACCCCTACTAATGTGTTCGGAACCTTTTACTTTTCGGTGTTCTGCAAATTATAAAATCCGATGAGTTCAGAGTAGCTCTGGCAGTGGCTCTGGCGAGAGTTAGCGAGACTTCAGCGAGATAGGGTAAATTATTCACGGAAATGTGGTTAGGAAGTGACTAGCACGTGGAGGCATGGTAAACAGAAAAGTTATGTTGCGTTTCGGTTTTCACCACCCTAGAATCAGCTGATAATATCTGTAGAAATGTACTTCAATCAATCAATCTCTCCGACATTCATTCAAACTTAAATAAGTACAGCTCAACACACTTTTTAAACTCACATGGTTTTTCGCACAAATTAAAGTCACATTCTTCTTGCAATAAAGCTTAAAATTATCGAGTTTTAGTACGAGACATAACCCTTATAGTATTAAATTGTTTCATGTTACAGGTGCACATTCTCTAAAATCATTATCTGAAGTTTTTAATGTCAGCGTTTTAAAAGGAAATTTGTTTATAAATTATATGATGTTAAATGTGTATGATTCTATCATAGGTTTTTACAAATTAATTAATGAAACTTTCTTTGATACTACTTGGTTGAAATGTTCAAATTTACTTCTTAAAGATGAGTATTTTTCGAGGTACGTTGCACATTTTCCATACTTGTCTTGGTTTTGTCGAAATTCAGCGCCAAAAGATGACAAAACTGCATACAGAAATCATGTAAAAGGATGGGATAATAAAGTATTGTTTATCTTTCAACAAAGTAAATTGTAAATACTGAAAAGCAAATTCTTTTACATTTATGGTCTGAAACTCTGATATTTGTGATGGAATTTATCTTTCATGATGCTAGATTCCAGGAAGTTAACCTGAAAAAATGCCATCTTTTTAACATGGAAAGCAGTCGAACAGATGCATGAGAAGTACATCTATCATCTTGCGCCTTAGTGTAATATTAATGTTCAGAAAATACAGAAGTTACATGAACTGCACTGTTTCTGTATTTAGGCAAGGGAAAAGTATGCTTTAAAACAAACGGATATAAAGACGGTAGCATTTGACGAGAAACAATGAAAAAACCTTTTGGAAACTCTCATAAGATATCAACCAGGGATATAGAAAAATCCTACCAATTATTATGTGCGAATTATGTTTTAAGTGATTGGATATGATCAAAATCAAGTTATAAATCATTTTAAAAATATTTTTTGTTGTCACATTACACAATTTTTGCATTATAACAATGTGACCTTAATTTGTGCGAAAATCCATGTGAGTTTAAAAAGTGTGTTGAGCTGTATTGTCTGTAATACAATTTTCTGCAGTCATGAATTAAAATTTCTTTTTGGATAAATATTTTTGCATGGGAACCGGGACTATATTTTTTGGCGTCAGATTAGCAAATGAGGCACCAGCATGATTTTAACTGACCAATCAGCTGAATGAGTATTGCATTATGGGTTACTACGAATACTACAGGAATTTTACGCTAGAAAAAAAGAAAACCTAATGGTAAATGAAAAGCATTTTTTAAAGAATATTATTTTCATGCTCATAATGACAAACAATTCATTTGTTAAATAAACGGCGGAAGTCTAGGTTTCTGAAAGTCATACTCCAAAGCGATTTTCGTCTGTATTAATTCCTTTGTTGTACTATCGGTGAATACAATTGCCAGGCGAATTCCCTGGCTGAACAGGTGATCACGAACGTAAACAAAGTTTTGTCCATTTAAATGCATGAGATACTGCTCGTTTTCCTTACCCTTGACGCACTGGTATTCTGAACTAGACACAAACTACAATTTATTAAACATTTTTTCCATTTAACAACAAATTAAAAACGTCCGTAACATCTTTCATAGTTTCTTATCTTTGTATTTTGTTCGTAAGAACATCTTTTTTTTTATTTTGCAGTCCATTAACATGATCGTAGATTGACCTGAACCACGTGTTAGAAGTAAAATGTAAACATGTATTTTTAAGTAAGTAAGTAAGTAAATTTTATTTAAAGTCGGCATTGTATACATACATAACAATAAACATGAGCTCTGTAGAGCTCTTAAACCGACTATCACAGTTAAAATATCACAGAAAGACGTTTACACATAAATTATCATGCAAAAACACATGTACATATATACACATACAAAAATTATGACATAAAATGAATTTTAAGAATTTAACAAATTTTAAGAATTTATAGTTTCTTTAGAATAAGTTAAAGAAAAATAGACAACTTGAAAAGCAATATGATTGCATTAAGAGAAAGAAAAATAAATATAACGTGAGTATTATAAATCAATAAAGAAATAAAAGTCATATGATAGTACATGTAATAAAATTAAGCACTAAGTTTAATTCATAAATTCAGATAAAAATAACTAATTGTATTATTAATAATATTAAAAATAAATAAATTTTTAAAAAAACCCGATAATTGAATAAATTTGAAAGTTTAGGAAATTTAAAATTCACACAGACATAGCTAAACCAAATTGAGAACGAAGGAAAGAATAAAAAATAAAAATTTGGTGTTAACGTTGCTATTCATTCAACGATTGGTCAATCCCTCGTGGTAAGATCCTCTGTGCGCATTTATAATGTAACAATAGCCATAAAAGGCAAACAAAGGTTTGTCAATGTAGATGATTATGGACATTTTTTACCAGCGAATCGGTTACTAGTGAGCTCTAATTTTCGCCGAAAAGTATAAGATATATTGATATTTTACACACACCAACCTTTAGCCACCCCTTTTCTGTTGAAAATCATGAAATTCTTTCAGAAAGGTCTGGAAACATTTATTACAGGACATGTTTTCAAAAGAAACAGCCTATAGCAATGCCATGTTTGCTGCCAATTTTATTTATAAAACCGGTTCTACTCTATAACCTTTGAATAGATCAACCTAAACCACGTGTCTTGAATTTAAATCACAATAACATTAGTAGGGGTGACGATAAGTATAAAAAAAAAATTCAGGGGATTTAAGAAATCAAAGTACTGAAATGACTGAAAGCTGGGCTTTGCTCGAGAATATTTGTCCGATCCGAAATTAGTACATATTTATTTTTTTTTTCCCATTTGGCCATTGATGTTTAACAGGTAGAGTTTGTATGATTGTGATTAAGAATATCCCATGTACCAGTAATTAGAATTAACAATCCAAACCCCATACAAGATATGTTATTATTTTAAAATTTGATAAATCATATTTCCGAGAATTTCTTGCATATTTTCTATTCAATCAGCATTTTTTACTCAAAATTCAAAATTCCGTCTTGGAATAGTTAAAATAATGCACATATTTTAGATACATGCTTTTAGTTTGAAACAAAAAGTACTTTTGTCGCCAACTACATGTAGAAACACTGATACACATCTATTTAACATTTTTTTAATTAATGTATTCTAACTTAAAATCCTTAATCAAACGACGTATAACATGGGTGGATCCAGAAGGGGGGGGTCCAGGGGTTGGACCCCCCTTTAATTTATGCGAGGTGGAGAGGAAGGGGGGAAACCGTTCCGGAAATAAAAATGTGTACGTCTAATTTATGTATTGAAAAGATAGATTCTCACACATTTAGTTTCCCCCATTCTTCTTCACTATTACCTTTTTATGAGAGTATAGTAGAAAATATTCTACTTATTTTTATATATCTTAAAATTATATGATTATTATAACTCTGTGTTTTCAAACCCACCCACACCCCAACCCAAAAAGGTTTTTCCAATTCTAAAAGAAAATTCATTGTACTCTTCGGAAATGCTTCAAATCCATTCAATTTAAACCTTAGATCTTTCCATTCGTGTGTGTGAATCCTCGCTTGAGAGTGTGTGTGTGAGGGGGGGATGGGAATGGGGGTGGGGGGGGGGAGGGGGGTGAAGGGACACGTCCCTTTCAAAAATGGATGGCTCCGCCCCTGTATAACACATAATATATCATAAGCTTATATCATTTTATTTTTCACTATTCAGAAAAGATGGTTCGTATAAGACCTACATGTCTCTACCTACCAATAAACCATTTTATCTCCTGAGATTCAGGGAACCTTGTCAGCGAGTTTCGGGTATGTTCGTCAGAGAGGAGATCGTTAAAACTGATGACGAAAACACCGCAAATAAGAACTACGTCAGAGGATGGCATCCCTTGAGAGCCGGTGGAAGTGACCACGTTCTCCATTATTGCTACTACTGGAAATATTAGTCTTTGCAACTGAATGTTGGACAAAAGAACATTTCTAAAATAAAGATTTCATGCAGATATTACATCGTTAACTTTTTTTCTAAATGATCATTATCAAGTGGAAGAGTAGTATTTAGAGAAAAAAAATCACATAATTTTCAGCCATAAAGAAGAAGGTACAGTTTCAATACAAATTAAGCCCTATATTTTTCTTAAAATATGAAAGTGATATAAGAAATCAAAATTCATTCTTTCTGAATCATAGGAATTCCCTGTATTAAGAATACACAAATCCTCCTAAATGCTAATTGTGACGTCATTAACTTGTGCATTTTCTCGTATTTTCTTTTAAAAAAGTTGCAGAAGACATCAATTTTCAGTGGAATTATCTTTGATAAAACATACTCTGCCAGAAAGATTTTGAGATACTATAGTATGTGATTTTTCATAGCAGTTTACATAATATATCCAAAAATTAAAGTGGACGACAGTGGCAGACACTATTTTCTAAAGGAAAATTAGAACAGAAATGAGTCATTTTCAATCTTTTATTTTATTTTTATTTGAATCTTTTGAAAATTTTATTTTGCTGTTAAAATGTGTTATTATGATAAATTTGTCTGTAACTTAAACCTTTTTGATCAATTAGACTCAGAAGCAGAAAAAAGGCTTCTATATACAATCCAATTTAAAGTTTTATATAAGAAATATTTATGGTACTCACTGAGAGAATTACCTTGTTAATTTAACTAGTGTGCCTAGTAAAGCGTTCTACGTGATTAGTAATCACTCTGTGTACTAGCTTACATAGTGAAAAGTGGAGTAGTGGTCGTAAAGATACTTAAATACCTAGTGAAAGTTACTTATGAATTCTTAGATTTTCTAATATTAGTGGTAAATATACCCAATACCTAGTAAAACTACTTTTAAGGTAATGATTGTATGGACAGTAAAGAGGGTGTTGCAGTTCTTTTGTTATTTTCCCTAAATGTGTAGCAGATGTAAAGAAGAATTTTTATGCTGCAGAAACTCATATCAATTTTTTTCAAATGCATCAATATATAAAGCACAACGAGAAACAATATTTGGAAGCTGCGTATTGACTTCTAATTTGCCATAAAATGATTTGAAAATTAGTCTTATGGCAAAATGAATCAGATTTTCCGTTTTTGTGAATAGGGAATCCCCATTGCTCTGAAAAAGTGCCTCCTTGAAACAAAATAATTTTGATATATACACAAAGAGGCGGGAATTTTCTTCAAAACTGCCATTTCCGATTTTTGTTTCAAAGAGGCACATTTTTTAAAAAACACAAAAATTGAATAAAAATTATTCTACAAACGAAATGCAAAGTATGTACATTAAATAAGACTGAAAGCATCGTGTCCTAAATGGTCTAGTGGATATGATGGTTGGTTACCAATTCGTCCATTTACAAGAGAATGGGTTCGGGTCCTGTTTGGATCATTTTTGCATATATATTTTTTTTCTATTTTTTTCCATATGTAATGGTATAGCAATGAAATTATATATTTTTTGAAAGAGTGAGAATGTCAAGAAGTAACTTGAGCAATAATGCAGGATAAACTTGTTTTCCTTGATATGCTGTGATTAAAACTGATACTTTATTTAGTTTTGTCTTGGAAAACAAAGTTACTGTATTGTTTAAATAATTTTTTTTACATACTGTAGTTATTGCAATTTTGAATAATGCTGGGACTCTTAGTAACCAAAATTTGATTTGAAACAAATGAAATGTCTTGGATGTAGCACCAACAGTATGATTATGGGACGCAGTTTTATTTCACGAAAATATTTTCGCACGATGTCTACAGTTTATCTTTCAAAATGCTGCTTTAGCTATTGTGCTTTTTGTTGTTCCAACCTTTTTCGTGCAAAATGACGAAAGTGTTTTGCTGTATCAAGCAGGAAATACCCGCCGTAAACATAGTCCTCTACGTAGCTGTATCTATATTTAGACATAACGAGGGTATTTAAATGACCTTCTCGATATATAGGGAATAATAGCGAGTTTCTGCAACACCCTCTTTACTAGTCTTCCCAGTGACTTTCACTAGTTATTTTTTTTTCAGTGCAGGATAACAATAATGTAATTTTGATTCAATCGAAGCTTATAAATAGTTCTTCCATCTCAAATATGAACAACAGAGGTTTATTAATTTAATCAATATTTTATTATGTAAGTAAGATTACATGATTGGATTGGACATCAGGCATAACAGAAGTTTATTAATGTTATTTTTTCTGTCATTGGAA